TTTATTCTAATTTTTCATATTTCCTTCTTCTCATGTAGTTTTCTTTTAGGTTATTGACTTACACTCTTTCTTTTTTACTAGAAGTGTTTAGAGATATAAATTTTTAACTAAGTACTGCTTGGTTGCATCCCATAAATTCTGTTATGTTGTATTGTTATTTTCATTCATCTCAAGTATTTTCTAATTTCCCCTGTGTTCCCTGTTGACACACTGGTTATTTAGGAATGTGTTGTTCAATTTCCACATATTTGTAAATTTTTCAGATTTTTTTGTTATAAATTTCTTATTACTCCGTTCTTGTCAGAAAATATATTTTGTGTGATTTAGTACTTTTAAATTTATTGAGGCTTGTTTAATAAACTGATATATAGTGTATCCTGGAGAATATTTCATGCATATTTGAGAAGAATGTATATTCTGTTGTTGGGTACAGTATTTTTTAGATGTCTGTTAGGTATAGGTGGTTTATAGTATTCCTTCAATTAGTTTTTGATATTCCTAAAAATTGTATTATATTCAATATGACTATCACTGACCATATTATTCTCAACAATGTCTTTGCATTTGTTCCTTGAGTTTGAAACACTTTTGTCCTAGGTAATACACAATCCTTTCCCTCAGGTCAGTCTCATCTCTCCACCTATGTCACCTTATCATAAAGGCCTTTTCTGACAAACTTCCAATCCCAATAATTTCCCTACCTTTTCTTCTTCTTTTTTTTTTTTTTTACTTATAGCATTTACTATTAGAATATATTTATTTTATTTTTTCTCCCATTTTTTTTCTTTCACTCTTTTATTCATTGCTGTGCCATTTAGTAAGTACTCAAAAAGTGTCAAGCAGATATGTGGTTATGGAAATTCAGAGGGAAGAGCAGAGGTCTTGACCACATAGAAATTTGAGAATCATCAGCATAGAGGAACAATTTAATTCATAGGCATAAAAATCACGTCTGGAGAAGGATAAAAGAAAAAAGGGCCAGGACACTTTTCTCTCTCTCTTTTTTTAAAGATTTATTTTATTTATACAAGAACTGGGGTATAGGCCAGATGTGCGGAAGGGTGAGGATTCACCAGAGACAGAAGGGGAACAGAATAGGCAGACTGATGAAATACATGCTGAGGGGTGCAGCGGGTGACACTGAAGAGGTCTACTCACCATGTGGGTTGCTCCGAGGCCAGCGGGGATTGAACTGGCACTGCCGAGGTTACGGACAGCTTCACAGCGCTGCGCTCAATGGCCTGTGCCACCAGGAAGGCCCCAGGACCCTTTTCTCTTGATGAATCCAACATTTACTAGAGGTTTGATAGGTGAAGACACCAGACAAAAAAGATTGAGAAGAAGCAACAGAGAGATGGAAGCATCACAGTTTTTTTAGTATAGGTGTTGCTTATACTAGAACTATACTAACAAAGTAGGCAGTGCCATTGAAGCCAAGGAAGAAGGGAGTTGCCAACTTAGTTGAAGCCACTTTGAGATCCATAGAGATAAGATTAAAGGCGTTACTGAGATGTGGTAACATGAAGATGGTTGATAATCGTTTTTTTTTTTTTTAATATTTATTTATTTATACAAGCACTGGGTACAGTCAGAAGCACAGGAGGGTGAGAGAATTCACCAGAGCCAGAGTGGGGAGCAGAACAGGCAGACTGACGTAGTACACTGCTGAGGGGAGCAGCGTGCACAGCAGGAGAGGTCTGCGCGCCATGTGGGACCCTCACCAGCGGCCAGGGATTGAACCGGCGCTGCGGAGGCTGCGGGCAGCTTCGCAGCCCAGCACGCAACTGCTGCGCCACCAGGGAGGCCCATTGTTGATAAACTTGACAAGAACAGTACAGATAGAAAACAGGCCTGTGTGTATAGGCCATGAGGAAATGGTAATGTTTCCTCAGTTACTCAATTAAATCTTTTAATAAATTTAATTATTCAATTAAATCTTTTAATAATTCTACCTGAAGGGGTAGAATCAAGCTTAGCAAATTCCTTTCCTTTTTTTCTGACCTTTTCAGTGCTTAAAACTCCCTCATTTGGAAACTGTCAGATGACTCCTTAAAGAATGAAAAGTTCTAATGGGTAGATGTTGGGTGGGTGCAATCTAAGCCAACTTTTCTTGGGAACTCTCCACACCAGTTTCTGGGAATTGGGAAACTTCTTACTAGCAAGACCAAAGCTAAAGTAACATCATCATTATCCCTCCATGACTTAGCATTTATACTCTTTACAATAAGTTGCCATTTGTTTTCATATAAACATATTAGAAAGAATCTGTCAGTAGTCTTAGCAACAACATGGTGCCCAAGGCATCCCTGCACATAGGGGGTCCCAATATGGAAGGGGATACCAGGGGCATGGTGGCCTGAGCAGTGCAGTGACCCCAAAGGGCAATCAGAGGAAGGGAAGAAGACTGCTCCAGTTCCTGACTGACCGCTTCTGTTATGGGAAGTAGACTCTACTCTAAAAGCATATGGAGGAAGTACACTAGAAAAAATGGATCCTTTACCCATATCAAGGAAAGCAAAGGCCAGGGCATAGCTGGTGCCTATTTCATCCTGAAGCAGGGAGGCTTATTTCAGCACAGATGTTAGAACTGGGTTGGAGGACGCTGAGGGCTCTACAGACTGGTTTTCCTTTGAGTCCCCTTCTTTACTCACTGCTGACCCTTTGACTTTGCTTTTGTCATTGCTTATATGGGGTTGGTAGTTGTATCTAATTGGCTAGGTTTTTTTTTTTTTAAGATTTATTTATTTTTTATACAAGAACCGGGGTACAAGCCAGATGCACGGGAGGGTGAGAGGATTCACCAGAGACAGAGCGGGGAACAAAACAGGCAGACTGAAGAAATACACTGCTGAGGGGAGCAGCGGGTGAGACAGAAGAGGTCTGCTTCGCCATGTGGGATTCTGCCGGCCAGCCGCGATCAAACCAGCGCTGCAGAGGCTGTGGACAGCTTCACAGTACGGCGCTCAACTGCCTGCGCCACCAGGGAGGCCCCTCTAATCGACTAGTTTGATGTAAAGTTGCCAAGAGATTTCACAATCTAAATATGTATTATTCAGCCATGTGCTCCATAAATGTTAGCATTTCTTTTCTTTCCCTCTTCCTTTCTCCTTCCTCCCCTTATTTATCTCTGCCTTTATTTTTCTTTTTTTTAGAAAATATAATTCATGTAGACATCCTTTAACTCTCATCTTTGCTCCAATTAAATTTTTCACTTGGCTTAAAAAAAAAATCTGTGAGAGCAGTGGCTGCTGTTTCTGTTTGTTAAAGTATTTTTTGGCTGTCTTTGATTTCTGACTTCTTTCCCTTGGCCTGTCTAAAGCCCAAAAAGATATTTATTACCCTTCATTATCACCATAGTAATAACTACTAAAAATCTAAACCTTTAATGCAACTGAATAGAGTTCGAGAAGCAGATCCATGCATATATAGTCAATTGATAATTAGACCAAGATACAAAAGCAATCAAATGGAGAAAGCATAATTTTTTCAACATATGTTGGAGTAATTGAAAATCCATATGAAAAACAAAAATCTCAATCTATACCTCATACCATGGATCGATATTAGCACAAAATGTATCATAGATCTAAATATAAAATCTCAAGGTATAAAACTCTGAACAGAAAAACGTAAGAGAAACATTTTTGTGACCTTGGATTAGGCAAAAGATTACTTAACTATAATTCTAAGAACATATTTCACATTATCTAATTAATTCAAAACTCTTTAAAGAGAATTTTTAGCTTAAAATTATGGTGTGTTTAGAGAGGCTCTTGGTTACAAGAAACAGAGATTCACTAAGTCCAACAGATTTGAAATTCTCATAGGACTTTCACCTGCCTTCCTCTCAGAGCAAAATTGACGTTATATGAAGGCAAGTCTGTCATGGACCTTGGTAGCTTGCTTCTCAGTCCTTCACGATACCTTTGGTTTAGCCTTCCACTTATCACTGACCTTGTGTGTTACGTGATCTTCACTCTATCTGTTGACTTCTTCCCTTTAAGCTTTGTCTTCTGTTGCTACCCAATTATTTTGTCATTTTCCAAGTTAGACACCCAGGAGAGAGAACTTTGATTGACCCAGATTATTTTTACATGTTCTAGATGGCTAAATATGTATGTTCAACCAGTAATATGGTCAAGTCATCAGTAGCTTGAATAGGGTGGGTAGAAACATAGGGAGATGACTGGTCATGGGCCCGAGGGAAAAGAGAGGTATAGAATATTGGTATATAAGATGTGATCTATATCTAATCTGGTACCATGAGTAATGGAATTTTCCTTAGAGGGGAACTTGGGTCTGGCAAATACTATAATTGATACAGCTATTATAAAATAAAATATTGATTTCTTATTTCTAGTGTTTTCTTTTTCCCATGCATAAAGCCTATTTTGCTGTTTTTTCTTCTTTGTTAACAACCCCCTTTAAAGAGGCTTAATGATTTTTTTTCTTTCTCACTTAAACTACTAATAAAAAAAGTAACATATACTCTAGCTGCTTTTTTTCATCCAGGTAAACCTTTTGGCTTGTTATCTTTAATTTTGTTGGGGTCCTTAAATCTCAATTATTACTATCTTTGGATTCTGTAGAGAAACTCAACTTAGGGTTTATTTTTTGTTTGTTTGTTTGTTTTAATAACGCAACCAGAGGAACCAATTTTGTGTTTGCTTTCTCCTACAGGAATTTGTATATACAAGACAGTCAGGTGGAGACTGGTTTGCTAGAGTAAAAACATCTGGGTGAGATGGAATATCATGCAGTCTGAAAAGAAAGATGTTAATGAAGAGAGGTAGACAGGATGCTCACTTAGAACATTGCTTCTCAAACATAAGTGTTCCTAGGAATCACTTGGGCATCTTGTTAAAATGCATATTTGAATTCTGGGGTGAGTCCTAACAACTGGGATTCGACATTTCTAACAAGCTCTCAGATGTTCATGCTGCTGACCTGCAGACACATCTTGAGGACTAAGAATCCAGCATGTTGATATTCCTCAACAGACTTCTCCGAACAGAAGCTGTCTGTATCGCTCCCCTTCATTGCCAGAGGACTTAAATAGGCCAAGACTGGAGCAGGTGGTAAAATTCAAGGACAACCCAATACCAGATAAAGTAAAAAAGAAATACTGTTCTAACCACAAAAAACTCAGGAAGGTAAGACCTTTTAAAAATAAAATCTGTTTAATCTTCTATCTCATTGTCTTCTCTGCTTTGCTGGTATAAGGATTTCTTGGGTATATCTTTTTTTCTTCATTACTTTTATTTTTATCTCTGTTCTTTCCAGCTTTTGTCTTTTCTTCATCTGTATCCACATATAAAATATTAACAATAAATATCTGTGTTTTTTTAATATATATATATTTTTTAAAGATTTATTTATTTATTTATTTATTTTTTTCCTTTTTTTTTTTTTTTTTTTTTTTTAAGATTTATTTATTTATTTATAGAAGCACTGGGTACAGTCAGAAGCGCGGGAGGGTGAGAGAATTCACCAGAGCCAGAGCGGGGAGCAGAACAGGCAGAAGGACCGAAGGACACTGCTGGGGGGAGCAGCGGGCAGCAGGAGAGGTCTGCGCACCATGTGGGACCCTCCTCCGGTGGCCGGGGAGCAGCCGGGGATTGAACCGGCGCTGCAGAGGCTGCCGGCAGCTTCGCAACCCAGCACTCAATCGCTGCGCCACCTGGGAGGCCCATAGATTTATTTATTTATACAAGCACTAGGTTACAAGCCAGAGGCGCTGGAGGGTGAGTGAATTCACCAGAGACAGAGTAGGGAGCAGAACAGGCAGAAGGACTGAAATACACTGCTGAGGGGAGCAGCGGGCGAAACCGGAGAGGTCTGCTACACCATGTGGGAATGTCCCTGGCCAGCCGGGAATCGAAACGGCACTGCAGAGGCTGGGGACAGCTTCACAGCACTGCGCTTAACCTGCTGTACCACTGGAGAGGCCCTCTGTGTTATTTTTTTTTAATATCTAAGGAGATACAAGGGAGCTTTTATTGGCAAGGAGACTAATTGCTGTTCTACATGCATTCTAACAGAAACAATATCAAATAGCACATTGGATTGGTGAAAGCACCTTCTGAAAGACTTAGCCCTCTTCCTCTACCCCTCCTTTAAAAATAATCAGAATGGGGCCTCCCCGGTGGCGCAGCGGTTGAGCACTGGGTTGCGAAGCTGCCCGCAGCCTCTGTGGCGCCGGTTCGATCCCCGGCTGCTCCCCGGCCACTGGAGGAGGGTCCCACATGGCGCGCAGACCTCTCCTGCCGCCCGCTGCTCCCCTCAGCAGTGTACTTCGGTCCTTCTGCCTGCTCTGCTCCCCGCTCTGGCTCTGGTGAATTCTCTCACCCTCCCGCGCTTCTGACTGTACCCAGTGCATGTATAAACAAAACAAACAAACAAATAAATAAATAAATAAAGCATGCCTCTATAAAAAAAAAAAAACAAAAAAAACAAAAAAAAAAAACAAAAAAAAATAAAAAAAATAAAAATAATCAGAATGCATTTGGCTATTTTACAAAATCAGTGTATGATATGGTAGAAAAAATAGAAGATGCATATAAGCAAAAAGAAATCTTTGCAAAAGGTCCACATCCTACAGACCAGAGATAATTACTATAAACACTCAATATATATTCTTCCTGGCATTTTTCTATGAGCTATAAGTTTTTTCTTTTATTAAAGTAGTATTATAGAGTACATGTTTTCTAACCTATGTAATGTTATCATAAATTTATTTTCATGTCAATGCAATTAATCTACATCATATTTTTAATTGCATAATAGTAATTTGTAATATATACAATATGATTTGCTTAACCAAGGCCCAGTTATTGAACATTTAATTGATTTAAATTTTCTCTATTGTAAACATCCTGGATATTCATCCTTATAGCCTCTTTGTGCGTATTTTTTTATTTCCTTGAGAAAACAAGTGGAAATATTAGATCAAAGGGCCTGTGTGTTTTTAATGAGTCTGACTCTATCTCCTAGTTTTTAAATCTTTAACATGAGGATTACCACTGGGTGTAATCTTGTCATCTTCAGAGTTCAGCTCTAAAGAAGACAGTCTCTCTCTCTGACATTAATATTATTCATATGCTGGAGGAAGATTCTAACCAGGGACATCTGATAGGTGATTTCTCCAAGGTAAGTTTGGTTATACCCTTTCCTTATTTCAATGAGTTATTTTTTGAATCTCAGTTTTTTTCTTCTCTGCTTGCAGAGAACACTAAGTATAATTATGCAGCCTTACCAAATACTCTTTTAATAACCTGAAGATGTTGTAGTGGTAGATCTAGACCCTAATTCTTCCCAATGAGAAAATATTCCTTATTCATTCTGGGAAAATCCAAAGCAGTGGGGTAAGTGTGAGGCTTTTAACATTTTTGCTTTTAAAGAAAATCTTATAAAATTATGTAAATAATACCTCGTCATTACAGAAAAGGTAGAAAGTGAAATCTACCTCAAATCTTCACAATCAAGAATGTTATTGCTATAAAAAACTTGGCATATATTCCTCCAGACTTTTTTCCATGTATTTTTACAAACACATACGCACATATACAAATACATTTTAGTTTTTCCTCAAAAATGTTTTAGACAGTTTGGTAATCTGTTGGGGATTTTTCCCTTATTTAATGTATCACTATCTTTTCATGTCAAGAAACAGTTCTGCTTTGCCATTTCATCATTTTTAACAGAACCAAGGATTTTTTTTTTGGCTGTCCATAATTTCTTGATAAATACTATCTTGTAAGATATTTATTGTTACAGTTTTTTCTTATGAACTATTCCAGGATTAACATATTTGTAGCTATATCTAAAGCTTTGCACATGTCCTTAATTAGTTCCTTAGGATCAGTTCTTAGAAATGGATTGCTATAAATGCACATAATATAGACCATTGATTTTTGAAGGTATCCAGGGTTTGAAAGGTCATTTGGAAAAAAAGACAATACATTGATCTTTGAGCTCAAATTTGGGTATAGGAAACTCTGTTAGTTAAGCTCTTGGGTATTTCTAGGTATGTGTGCTGCCAACCGTGTCAGGAAGACACCAAGATCTGAAGTATGTCAACCCAGAAACGGTAAGCAGATTTCTGGACATGGTAACTGGTTACATAAGCTACCATCTGGTCTGTTCTGTCCCTAAAATTCCCACTTCCATTTCTATTTCTTACACTCAGATAGACTCCTTGTTCAACTGAAGCTGTATTAAAGGATATCACCTTTTATCCCATTCTTCCGTTGCTTTTGTTTTTAACTAAAAAGGTATTATAAAATTGTTATGGAAGGAAGGGAAAAGGCAAAGACCTCAAGAGGAAAAGTTGCTCAATTAGGGTGGCCCTACATCCTGCTTTACATGTTAAAATCCCATTTACCCCTATTATTGCAGTGTAAGTATTATAGTGTTCTCTTTCACTCTCAAAAGTATTCCAGTTTGTGCAATAATTATTTAGTGGTCCTTCTTGTAATCTTACCACCAGATATGACCACTAGTAATATTTTCCTTGTGCCCATCCAGATTTTATTCTGGCATGTTTTTTTGGAAACAGGATCATGATGAACACGCAGTTAGCTTAGTAAGACATTGTAAACATCTATATCAGTGAAAAGATACCTATATTTTCCTTTTAGTGGCTATATATAACATCCTAATATACTGACATGTATACTTTATTTTCCCAAAGCCCCTATTTTTGATTACTTTAGTTACTTGTAATATTTTGATAGCCTCAAACAATGCTGAGATTATTATTATTGTGCAACCTTTCTGTGTACTTTTTTGTTTACTTAAGATGTTAAAAAAATTGCTGAGTCAAACATAATTGCATTTGTGTTTATAAGTATTTATAAAGTTCTCTCCAGAAAAGTTGAACCAATTTACACACTCCTACAGGTAACTTCAGTTTCCTCCTCTGGGTATTTATCAACCTTTTCTTTCCATACCCTTTTCTGAAAAGATTTATTTTCTTCTTTTATAATGGAGGGTAGGAAACTTCCCCCATCATTTCTTGCAAAGTTGGGATCTCTGGCTGCAACCTGTGCCACCACAAAAGACCTTGGGTGTATTCTGAGAGTCTGAGTCGAGTCATGCCTGTGTCCAGAGGAGTAGCCTGAATATTGTTCTTCTGGTGTCCTGGCAATACAGCTATTTTGTTTCTTCAAAAAGGCCATTTCCTTTTTCATCCACTTATGTGGGGTGGTAGGGTGAACTATTGTACATTTCAAATCCAGCTTGGGCTTGCAGTGGACTTCTGGGTAACTAAAGGGAGTGCAAAGCAGGAGCTATGTGACTGGTTCTTCTGTCACTCTCACTGTGAGTGACAGTGAGCTGGATATTCACTCAATGGTTTCTGTGCAGGTGGCTGCCTTACTGTCGGGGAAGTTTCAGAGTTTGATTGAGAAGTTTTATATTATTGATTGCCGCTATCCATATGAGTACCTTGGAGGACATATCCAGGTGAGGTTACATTGGGTTCACTAGCAGGAGAGGGGTTGAAGATTTTTTTTTTAAAGATTATTTATTTATACAAGAACTGGGGCACAGGTCAGAGGTGCAGGAGGGTGAGAGGATTCACCAGAGACAGAGTGGGCAACAGAACAGGCAGACCGACTGAAATACACTGCTGAGGGGAGCAGTGGGCGAGACAGGAAAGGCATGCCACGCCATGTTGGTTTCTCCCTGGCCAGCCAGGAATCAAACCCACACTGCAGAGGCTGCAGACAGATTCACAATGCGGCGCTCAACCCACTGTGCCACCAGGGAGGCCTAGTACTGTAAACTTGAACAGTTAACTTTTCCTGTCCCTTCTTGATCTATCTCCCTCTTTTCTATAGGAGGCAAAGACTCCTTTTTAGAAATAGAAACATTAATTCAAGAACAGAGAAGTACTTTGTAAACACTTAGTGTTCTTAGACAGTCTTGCACAATGATCCCTTACACATCAGGCAGTTCAATTCTATAAACATTTAATGAGCACTTACTACATACCATGCTCTGTGCCAGGACCTGGGGGTAGATACAGAAATATAATTAAGTCTCTGCCCTGAAAATGCTTATAGTCTAGCCTTCCTCGCCCAAGTATTCCAAGATGGTATCCTAATTATTTCTAAGTGTTGGTGGTGTCCACAAGCCCTTAAAGAAATATTTTTACAGGGAGCCTTAAACATGTACAGTCAGGAAGAACTGTATAACTTCTTCTTGAAGAAGCCCATTGTCCCTTTGGACACTCAGAAAAGAATAATCATCGTGTTTCACTGTGAATTCTCCTCAGAGAGGGGTCCTCGAATGTGAGTGACTACAGAGGGTAAGGTGGGTTATGGAACTAGATCTTGAGCTGGGATGTAAACTAGGGGAACTTTCTGAAGCAGACAGAGACTGATTGATTGAAAGAATGCTCTTCAATGCAGTTTGAAGAATGCTTAGGGAGGTAAGTGGAAGGGGTTTCTACAACTCAAAAGTTTGAAGCAGTGAAGGACAAAAGAATTGGGAATGAGGTACCAGTGGAAGAAAGGAATAAGCGAGGTGCTTCTTGGACCTTGTTTTGTTAAGGCAGTAAGATCAGATGGCCCTTTTTGTGGGTCAACTAGTGTGTTCTCCTCTGCCCAGTGAATGTCCCATGGAATCCTGAACTTGCTTCTTTCCACTCCACTCACCTCTGGGTTTTCTCAAAAGGTGCCGCTCTCTGAGAGAGGAGGACAGGGCTCTGAACCAGTATCCTGCCTTGTATTACCCAGAGCTGTATATCCTCAAAGGAGGCTACAGAGACTTCTTCCCAGAATATATGGTAAAGTAGGTGGTATGTAAATAAAGGGGAAGCCCAGATGTGGGGGAGTCAGCTTTAGCATGTAAGTTCAGGGCTTAGAAAGTCCTCTCAGAAGAAGCTGCTACTCGTTCTTAGCCACTACAGGCAGCATTTCTATTATATTTAGTAGGCAGAATTCAACAGTCTAGAGGATCCTTTACTCTATCTCTCCCTTTCAGGAGCTGTGTGAACCACAGAGCTACTGCCCTATGCATCACCAGGACCATAAGGCTGAACTGCTGAAGTGTCGAAGCCGGAGCAAAGCCTGGAAAGGGGAGCGGCAACTGCAGGAGCAGATTGCCTTACTGGTGAAGGATGTGAGCCCGTGATCATGGATCAGCCAATGGCAGCTTAGTAGACACCAAAGACATGTAGAAACCCTGAGCAGAGAGAGGCCATCTTCTGGGTGGCTAAACCTAAGATTGTTCAAAGATATCTGCATACCAGCAGGCCAAACCACTGAAATCCTGGGCCTGGGGTTGGTTGGTTAGGTTTCACTAGAGCTGCTACCTGATAGTAAAGTCCTGGAGCTGGCTTGATAAGGTTGCACTTTGGCTTGCAGAGATCTGTGTTGCTTCAGGGAGTGGTTGTATATCTCTTCCCAACTTCTTGTATCTTCTCATGAAGCAGCCAGCCCTTTTTCTCCCTGGGCTTCTGGATGTGCAAGAGAGTTGCCCTCCTTTTTCTATATTGTTCATCTTTATTTCCCTCTCTCTTTTTAAAATAGGAAAATAAACATTGCAGAACAAAAGATTCATGATTGTGAACCTAGTCTGCTCCTAGAAGATCTGTATAAATGAAGTGATCACCAATTGACTCCTTCCATTGTCGCCATCTCCATTCATAACTGAGGCCAGTGTGCTTTTCTGTAGACCACTGGTTCTGAAAGTTTGACCCTGGACCATCAGCATCATCCAAACTTGTTTGAAATGCAAAAGTTGAGTCTTAATCCCAGAACTAATAAATCAGAACCTCAAATTATTAGGGCTCAGAGATCCTGTGGTTTAAAATCTCCCTTTCTATTGATCTTTTAAAAGAATTATTCCTTTATTATAAGATTTTGATTTATTTTAAAAAAAGATTTATTTATTTATGCATATAAGAACTGGGGTACAGGCCAGAGGTGTGGAGGATGAGAGGATTCACCAGAGACAGAGTGGAGAACAGAACAGGCAGACTGACTGAAGTACACTGCTGAGGGGAGCAGCAGGTGAGTCAGGAGAGGTTTGTGCCATGTGGGTTGCTCCTTGGCAGGCCGGGGATAGAACTTGTGCTGCAGTGGCTCTGGAGAGCTTCATAGGGTGTGTCTTAACCCCTTGCACCACCAGGGAGGTCCAAGATTTTCATTTATTTTATTTACTTTTCATAGAAGAACGGGGGTGGGGGAGCGGTGAGAGGATTCACCAGAGACAGAGTGGGGAGCAGAACAGGTGTATCTACTGAAATACACTGTTAAGGGGAGCAGTGGGCAAAACAGAAGAGGTCTGCTGCCTTATGTGGGTTAGCTCCCTGGCCGGGGATTAAACTCACGCTGTAGAGGTTCAGTGCTGGTGCTGAGACTTAACCCCAAGGCCACCAAGGAGGTCCCCATTCTGTTGATTTTGATGCATGCCATAGCTTGAGAACCACTGCTCTGGACTTAAAGAAGACCTTTGTTGGTGCTGAGACCCAGACTCAGCACTATGGTATCTAGGCTTAGAAACCAAGGTAATTGGCAACTCTAAGGCAGGTAATAGGTCTGAGTTAAGCTCAAAATGTTCCTTCTCTATATTCTCAATGGGGTTTTGACTTCCCCCCTTTTCTTCATTCCATGTCTCACAAAGACAAATTAGCATTTAGAATGGTTAAAAATAGAAATTTGTAATATGTGTAGACAGAAATAAAAGAAAATGAAGGTATCAAATAAGATCAATTAGACTTAAGGAAGACCTCTCAAACTGCATTTTCCCTGACTTTCTTTTCTTTTCTTTCTTTTTTTTTAAGATTTATTTATTTATACAAGCACTGGGTACAGTCAGAAGCATGGGAGGGTGAGAGAATTCACCAGAGCCAGAGTGGGGAACAGAACAGGCAGACTGATGAAATTACACTGCTGAGGGGAGCAGCAGGCAGCAGGAGAGGTCTGTGCACCATGTGGGACCCTGGCCGGGGATCGAACTGGCGCTGCAGAGACTGCGGGCAGCTTCAAGCAGACGGACCAAAAGCACTGCTGAGGGGAACAATGGGCGTGACAGGAGAGGTCTGCCATGCCATGTGGCAATCTCCTGGGCCGGCCGGGAATCGAACCTGCGCTGCGTAGGCTGCGGATAGCTTCACAGCGCTGTGCTCAACCTGCTGAGCCACTGGGGAGGCCCCCTGTCTTTCCTTTCTTGGAGCACTTTAAGATGAGTAGGCGTGGGTTTGTATAGTGAAATACAGCCCTGCTTGACCCAGGTGGCGGTGGAGTTGGCTCAACATTGTCATTCTCTGGCATTAACCTAGTTGTAGTGATAGCCCAGAACTAAAAAAGGACAGAGGACTCTGAAGCCTAGGCTGAAATAGAATAGAATTTGACATTTTCCCAGATTCTGGAGCAGGGAGGGTTTTTGAAAATGAGTGGGAGGGAGGAGTTTAGTATCCCTGAACCTGCTTGCCCAACTATAATTATAAGGTTTGCAAGTGCTGTTTTGGATGCTGCATGCAGGCCTTTCAGCAGAGGGCACTGCTGTATTCTTTAAGCTGGTTGCTGGAATCTCTTAGCTCCTGCCTGTCTGTTGAGAGGGAAGCTACCTCTCTGACCTGTCTCTGGCTCCTGAGCTCAAAGCTCAGAAGGAATTCGGGGGGGATAAAGAAAAGCTGCTGCTTCGTTACGTGGACATGGCTGAGGGAAAGATGCTGTTCCTCTCTCACCCACACATTCCTAGCAAGCCCAAACTGATAGTAGCCTGAAGAGGAAACTACCTGAAACGCCTTCACTTCCACATGTGAGGAGGGGTCCCTGACCCACAGGCTTAGCCTCCTGGGTCATTTCCTGATAATTCGCCCCAAAAAGAGAATCAGGCCACCAGCTAGGAAGAGATTGGTATACATGTGTTCACATCTCACTAATCTTATTTAACTGGAAGTTCTGAGTTGCAAAAAACAGCAAAACAAAACCCCTAGGGCTTAATTAGTTATCTACGTTGTGAAAAATTATATTTGCCTAAGAGGCAACATTTTTTTTTCATAGAAATTCTTGTAATAGCCTTCCACTGTATAGGTACCATGTGATTTTGATTCACGTTATTTTTGAAACAATAATAATAGTAGGTAATACTTCTTAGGTCCTGCTGCATGCAAGGCTTTTTATTAATTAAGTTTATATATATAACCTAATTTAATTTTCACAACAATCCTGTAAGGCAGGTACTAATTATGCAAGTTTTATGATGAAGAAATTGAGGAAAATAGGGATTAAGGCAGGTATTCATTATTATGCATGTTTTTCAGATGAAAAATGAGCTACAGCGGGATCAAGTAACTTGTTTAAGATCACACAACTACTAAGTGGTGTAGCTGGATTTGAACCTGGGTAGTAGCTCCAGAATCTGTATCCTTATTGAGCTTTGCTGTTACTCAGTCCTCATTAGTTTCTAAATTTGACACTTTACTGAATATTAATTATGTAAGGGCCTCAGTTGTAGGTTCTGGAGAAGTCAGGGCCATCTGGTTGCTTGGGTTTGGCAGTTAAGGCTAAGGGGCTAAGATCCTAGGCAGGAAGATTCTAGTCAGTATAGCGATACGAGTGCAGAGCTGACCCCCAATAGCCCTGCGCCAAAGGGTGTAGCTCTGCACGAGTATCCTTGTACTCACTGATATTTGTTCATCATGAAGTCAAATAATAAACAATCGAAACCTTTTGCTCTAAAAATCCTTTCTGGTTATCAGTCTCAACCCAGGATCTGGCCAAACTTTGTCTTAGAGAGGGAAGAAGCATTTCTCTATCAGGAGTATAAGGAGGGGGATCTGGAAGATTCTGTTTCTCCATCCAGTTCAGGTAAATGTTAGGGAAACACCAATTCTTTTAAATACACCTGGGGTTGTCAATTCTAAGTTCCACAATGAAATATGACACAGTCATTGCCCTCAAGAAACTGACACAGTAAAATATTATTCTCTTTGTTCCCAACCCTACAAATACTCTGGCCCACTATTATATTAAACAAAAGCAGGAAGTACTATAGCCTTAGCTCTAAAGCAGCATGTCTGGTGGTAAGGGATGGCCAAGTTCATAGAACAATTAACTTCTGCAAGTCATCTGGGATGAGACCATTTATTCAGTGCTTCCTATGTGCTGGGCACTATGCTAAATTCAAAATTTACTTGTTTATCCTCCCAACTGCCCTTTGGTGCAGATGATATCACTACTACTAGCATTAATTTTACAGATGAAGAAACTGAAGCACATTAAAACAAAAACAAAAACCCGAAACACAAAAATTAAATGGCATGCCCAAGGTGACTCAGCATGTGTTGGAAATAGCATTTGAACCTAGGCAGCTTGTAAAGTTTGTGCTCTTACCTATCACCATTACACTGTTAAAATCCTGGATCAAGAAAGCAATGAGAAATAAAGCTCAATAGTGAGAGGGCACTTGATAGAAGACAGAGAACTAAGATTTCAAATGAAAGTAGAGTAAGCTAGAGGGTCTTTGGATCTGTGAGCCCTGATAAGTATCGACAGATTGCAAGACTCTTCCAGGGCAGGGTTTGTTACTCATCATTTTTGCACCTGGCACAAAGCTGTACCCACAATCATTCTCAAAAGACATTACTGAATTGAATGATGGCCGAGTAACATCATCTTTGTAGCAAGGCTTGGCTCATTGTTATTATCCACAAGGTTCCCAACAGCAATGCTGCTTATCTAGCAGGTGTTGGCAGTCACAGAGGACATGGTTGGTGGGGAGAGGGTGTACTGGAGGAGCTGTCAATATTAGTCTTGGAATCATATTTATTTGTAGAGGCTATCTCAACCCTTCCCTGGCCTTGGTTACCAATCCTCATTAAAGGCCCAGTGATAGCTCTCCACCCAGTGTCCAGACAGAAATATGTTTCCAGGCGTCTGTCTCATTACTCTCTCAAAAAGGCTGGCCTCTTACAGGTGGAATTGGACATTGATCTCAGCCTATCAGTTTGATCTTGTTCCTACCCTCCTGGTCCATTCCTTAGGGGTAGCACTGAGTAGACACTTTGACTAGTCACTGGTCAAATGCCTTTCCCTAGCCTACCCTTCTCAAAACTTGAGATGGCTTGGTGGCTGAAAGAGGAGATCAGAGGTGATCTATGATCACCCCACTCTGATCGCCCCACATCTTTGTGGATTCCTTCCAGGTCTCAGCCTTTTCCTAACACCCCAACCCTCTGAAATGGTTCTTTTGTTTTGTAAATCCTATTCTGAAACTACTGCCAGGGTGGAATGGAAAGTGGGGGTGATCTGCTCCCCAGCCACAGGTTTCCTAAATTTACTGGAAGGGAAGGCTTGAGAAATGTACATGAGGTAAGGAGGAGCTAGGGGACACAGACCCTCTACAAAAGCTGAGTAGAAAGATGTTCGCTTTCACAGCTCTCCTGTAAAACTGGCAAGGCAGATATAGATTAAAACGAAGCAGAAACTCCATTTAAAGTGCATTACAGCTCAGGAACCAGTTCCCCCTGGGCAGGAAAAGGGAGGAAAGGGCACAAGAGGCCACATCAGTCTCCTTATCTAGGGGCACATGTCTCTGTCCCAGCTTTGTGAAGGGTGATTTACACCCCTGGCCAGAATGACTCTCTTTCTGGGCTGATTACATCGGCAAATGCCCTCCAGAGGCCACAGCAGGATGGCCATATTCACAAGCAGCAGCCAATAAATCTCAGAGGTTTATATTGTACTTTTTTATCCCCTCCCTCCTGGCCCTCCGCCAGGCAGGCTGTGTAAGCAAGGAAAGGACTTGAGTTGGACGGTTGGGGTGGAGGGGTGGGGGTAAAACACTCCATTCCCTTTCTTCACCCGCCTCTCATTTTCTAAGCATTGCTTAGTTCTCATTCTTCCAAATCATTCTAGCTTTACCCTGGGAGTGGGTGGAAATCATCTCTAGACCCAATAAATATGCTGTCCTGTATGAATAGAGATCCTGGTTTCTGGGCACGGTGTTCTACATTGCTGTTTAATATTGGTAGAGTAATTGGCCCCCCTGAAAATGATGAGGTTTCCAAATGGTCTTTCCATTCATCTTCCTCAGTGAACTTACCTTTCTTCCAGGAAAATCTCTGATGATTAGTCTGAGGGGGGCTTTCATTCTACCATCATCCCTCATGAGGATGGGGCTAAAGGGACTGAATTTTGGAGGACTCTGATTTTAGCAAAGGTCCTGGGATCTGGTCCCAGGTCTGCTCCCAGCAAGACCATTTTCACCTATCCAAACTATCTTTGCAGAATCCTGTGATTAATAAACACCATTGAATCTTACTCTTGAAGATTCTTATTTGGCGAAAATGAAATCACATATGGGTAAATTCTAAGAAGTGAAAATATTAGAAATGCAAGTGCCCTTGGGCTGCTTTGGTCAAGTTTTGTTACAAGATCTCATGGTGGGATAGGCTGTGGGCATATGGGTCCTAGGAAATGAGATAGTATCCACTGGCAGTTTCTGTAATGTCTAGGGCAGAATTTCTTCTTTAAGCCAATTTGGTATTTGACTGCCTGTGGGCTGGCTCAGCAGGGCACCCTATTCTGTGCCCAAGCCCAGCGGCTCCTGTGGCTCCTGCGGTGCTTTCCCTCTCCCTCCCCTTCCCCTACCACTTTCTCTGTCCAGTAGAAGCTGGGTGGTGCGGGTGTTGGCTTCAGAGTTGGAGGGCGGTGCCCAGGACCCTGGTGGGTGAGTGTCAGCGCTGCACAGAGGAGGGGCAGAGGCGGTGGTGGGAGGCGTAGGCAGAGGAGCCTCCTGCAGAGCTCCCTCTCGGGAAGCAAACAGTGCCCCAGCACAGGCAGAGAGCCCCTGGGGGCGGACCCCCGGCACCCTCATCCAGCCATGGCTCGCCCCCGGAGCCCACGACCTGCGCTGCCTGTGTTCCTCCTGCTGTTGCTGCTGCCACTGTTGCTTGGAGCGGGTGAGTGTCCCCTGTGCAGTCGCAGGTCCGCTCAGCTCTGCTCCTGCCCGGGGTTAGACAGAACGGGATTGCGTAGGTGGTGTCCAGGTCACCGCTGCCCAGAGAGCTGAGACACAGTACAGGCTCCAGATCCTGGGCTTCCGAGTCTGAGGAGCTGGAGGAAGAAGCCCAGGGTGCCAGGGAGGGGTTGGGTTCCATGCCTAAATCTGTTTGAAATGTTGTAGCTTTTGAGTACCAGCAATGGTCAGGGCATCTAAGCATTTCATCACTCAGGACTCCCTCTTCTACCTCTTTTGAGGTGTGCCTGCACAGTCACAGAGGAACCCACAGCTAAGCCACTAAAGTACAGCATCTCTAGGAAGCAGGGAGAATAAGAAGCCAGACTGCCATTTGCCCCATGTGGACTTTAACTCTTCTGTCTGCTTTAAGGACTAGGGAAACGGACTCTGAGTACAGATGAAGAAAGATAAGTATTTGTCAGAACTGACCTATTACAAATTTGTGTTGTAAACTGCTGCCCAAAATCTGCTGCCATAGTTATTTGGTTGTATTATTGAGAATGTTGCTCACACCAAGCTACACACGCACACAAACACACACTTTTCAGGATATACTTTATTATTTTAACTGGAGCAGAAAATTGGCTATTGGGCAAGATGGGCTTTCTGTGCAAGCTGCCCAGTACTGTGACTTGTCCTATTGTAGATGCCTGTAGATAGGTATTTTGTAGCATTTATTGTTCAAGGTCTGGTTTTAGAACCCAGCCATTCTTCCAAGGATGGGCATCCTGGAATCCATGAACTCAGGGAAAACATCCATGGCCTTTGAAAGTGGTGTGGGTGCCTGAATCTCACTGTGGATTTCCTGCCCAGAGCCTGAGAATCCTGAGCCACAGAATACCTTGGTCCAACTGGTGGTATTGCAGAAAAAGCAGTCTTGGCTGTCAGACAAATGTGGAAGGAAGGAGGGAAAGGAGTGGTCGTCCAGACTGACTCCAAGAGTAAACCAGGGAGTAAGGCATCACATCTGATACCACATCCTGGTCTGACTGCCCAGGAAATTTCACTAACCTTAAAGGTGTATCTGCATGTTAGAATTGGTGGTAAACATTAAATACCTTCCTCATTAACTAATTTAGTGGAACAAGTTCTACTTAGTTATGATGAAATTTAATTGTCCACCAACTTCTTTTGTTGAGATGAAATGCCCCTAGATCCACTGCTGCTCAGACTTGGTGAACTATAGGATAAGAAATAGAGAGGTTTATTTTCCAAAATTTTTATGACTCAACATTTAGCTCAGTGAGAACAATGAGAAGTACACCTGTTACATATTTTTCAAATTTCAAAAGCTTATTTTTTCCATCTTCCATATATAAAATTAACAAATGTGCTTTTTTGAACTATACATTCCCTTTGGAAAGTCTGATATACCCCTCAAAGGGCCTAACCTGTTTCTTCTCCATCCCCTCCATCGAGAAACTCTGGTTTAATTCAATATTCTCATCTTACATTTGAGGAAACTATGATCCAGAAAGTGAAATAAATTGTTCCGCTTGGGGCTGGGACTTAGGTGAAGTGAGTGAAGGGGGTGCCGAGAAACTCAGTAGTCAAGATAAATATTTTAGTGTGATAATTTTATGTCATTTTTTAAAAAATAAAAATTAATGTAAAAATGCATTATGAATAAACTATCCAAATTTTAAATAAAAAGAGCAGCAATGTCATGTTGAGGCTTATTGAAGCCTGAAGTAAAAGGAAAAATCAGTAGTACTGTTGATTATGCATTCGAGATGGCACCAATTTTCAAACTTTAGGCTGCAAAATAATCTCCAGCGAACTTGCTAAAATTCAGATTCCCAGTCTTTGTCACCAGAATCTTTATCTGATTCAGTAGTTCTGAGATGGGGTTTAGAAACATGCACTTTAGTAAATAATCTAGTTGTTATTGTGTGTTTGGAAGAGGGGGCTGGACCAATTAAGCCCTGAGTCCCCTCCTATTTCTGGGACTCTTTGATTGCAGCTACAGGGATGGGGCCCAGGAAAACTTTAGAGGTGCCTCACAGAATGTCTTTTGCTATCTGTTTATTTCTTAAAATTCACAATGAATAAGTGCTTTTCTAGGTACTGGCAACAGACATAGAAATCTAGAGAGGAAGATGATCAATAAATCAAGTTAAAAAAAACTTGAAGTGATGACAGAGTCCCATTAGAGCAATAATGTGTTAGTGACTAGAGGGCCACATTAGTTAGTTGGGCATGGCCTTTCTGAAATGACATTTAAACTTCAAACTGAATTACCAAAAGAGGCTGGCCATGTGAAGAGCAGAGGGAAGAGCATTCCTAGCAGAAAGAAAGGCTGGGGCAAAACCCTCAGGAGGGATTTAAACAGAGAAATGAGATGATCTGTTTTACAACTCTTTTTTTTTTTTTTTTTTTTTAAATCTTTTTTTTTTTTTTTATAGAGGCATGTTTATTTATTTATTTATTTAGTTTGTTTGTTTTTTGTTTATACATGCACTGGGTACAGTCAGAAGCGCGGGAGGGTGAGAGAATTCACCAGAGCCAGAGCGGGGAGCAGAGCAGGCAGAAGGACCGAAGTACACTGCTGAGGGGAGCAGCGGGCGGCAGGAGAGGTCTGCGCGCCATGTGGGATTCTCCGCCGGTGGCCGGGGAGCAGCCGGGGATCGAACCGGCGCCGCAGAGGCCGCGGGCAGCTTCGCAACCCAGCGCTCAACCGCTGCGCCACCGGGGAGGCCCTGCAACTCTTTTTTTTAAAAAAAGATTTATTTATTTATGCATATGAGAACTGGGGTACAGGCCAGACGTGCGGACATTGAGAGGATCCACCAGAGACAGAGTGGGGAACAGAACAGGCAGGTTGACTGAAATATATGGCTGAGGGGAGCAGTGGGAGAGTCAGGAGAGGTCTGCTGTACCCTGTGTGTTGCTCCCTGGCCGGGGATCAAACTTGTGCTGTGGTAGCTGAGGTTAGCTTCATAGTTCAGTGCTTAACCCCTTGCGCCACCAGGGGAGGCACTGATTTACAACTCTTTAAGAGATGACCCTATATAGTGCCAGTCAGCATTCAAATTATGTTATAATCACAGATGGAATGTCATACATATAGCAATGAAAATAAGCTTTTTACAATTTCACTTAATATATATTTTTTTTTTTTTTTTATAGAGGCATGTTTATTTCTTTATTTATTTGTTTTGTTTGTTTGTTCTGTTTACACATGCACTGGGTACAGTCAGAAGCGCGGGAGGGTGAGAGAATTCACCAGAGCCAGAGCGGGGAGCAGAGCAGGCAGAAGGACCGAAGTACACTGCTGAGGGGAGCAGCGGGCGGCAGGAGAGGTCTGCGCGCCATGTGGGACCCTCCTCCGGTGGCCGGGGAGCAGCCGGGGATCGAACCGGCGCCGCAGAGGCCGCGGGCAGCTTCGTAACCCAGCGCTCAACCGCTGCGCCACCGGGGAGGCCCTACAATTTCACTTAACTGTGTAAATTTAGTAAACACAATGGTGAGCAAAAGAAGCCAAGGCACCAAAAACACATGAACAGTTGGAAACCAGGCAAAACCAATCTGTCATGTTAGAAATCAAGATACTGATTTCCTTGGGATGATGGTGATTAGAGGCAGGATCTGGGGAGCTAGTAATATTTGGGTCCTTTTATCTGGAGCCTGGTTACAGTGTCTGGTTTCATGAATTTCAATCTGTGAAATTCATTCAACTGTAAATCTTTGTTGGCATGAAGTTTTCTGTATGTTATACTTTAATAAAATCTTTATTGCCAAAAATTACATACAAATGGCTACCAAGTAAATGAAAACTACAAATGAGGTACCACTTCATACCCATGAGGATAGCTATAATATAATAATAATAATAATAATAATAATAATATAATGGGAAATAACAAGAGTTGGTAAGGATGAAGAGAAATTAGATATTTGTCCATTGTTGGTGCAGCCACTGTGGAAATCAATTGGACAAAAGTTAAAAGTAGAATTACCATATGCTCCAGGGATGCCACTCTCAGATATACAACCAAAAATAATTGAAGTATGTAAGCAAATACCTGTACATGAATGTTCATAGCAGTACTAGTCACATAACCAAAAGACGGAAACATGCAAATGTTCATTAACTGATGTATAGATAAACAATGAAATTTTCATCCACAAAAACCGTGCTACAACATGAATGAACCTCATAAATAGTATGTTAGGCTAAAGAAACCAGATACAAAAGAGAAATTTTATGATTCCTTTTATATGAAATATTTAGAATAAATAAATCTATACATACAGAAAGCAGATTAGTGATTTACAGAGTCTAGGGGGAGGAGAGAATGGGAAGTGACTGTTTAGTGGGTCTGGGGTTCTGGGAATGATAAAAATGTATTGGAGTGATATAGAAGTGATGGTTGTACACCATGGTGAATCTGTTCTGTCCAGATTATCACAACTGTAGACTCTCCAAGTCTAGCTAGGTTCTTTCTGTTCATACTTTTTCCTAAAGATCTTTTCTGCCACCCCAAAACCTTGCTGCCCAAAGTTTAATCAGGAATTCCCCCACCCTGTTCATACTTGGTACTCCTAGACAGCTACCCTGATCTTAATGAGACTCACCTGGTCTCTCTATTGCTACAGGGGATCCCCTCCCCACAGAGGGCCGGTTCATGAACAGCTGTATCCAGGCCAGGAAGAAGTGCCAGGCTGATACCACTTGTGGAGCTGCCTACCACCATCTGAATTCCTGCATCTCTAATAACAGCACCCCATTGTCCCCAGAGGAGCCGTCTGTCCCTGCAGACTGCCTAGAGACAGCACAGCGCATCAGGAATAGCTCTCTGATGAGCTGCACATGTCACCGGCGCATGAAGAATCAAGCTGTCTGCCTGGACATCTATTGGACTGTTCACCATGCCCGCAGCGTTGGTGAGGCCCCCATCCTAGAGAGGACTAAGTTGGGGAAGATGACTTCTAGGGGTTATATTCTAATCTTGCAGGATATGGACCACATGGTAAATTCTGACAGGAGTGATAATGAAACTTTGCATTTGACATCAGTAAGAAGTGGGGAAAAAAATGGCAGGATCCTTTTGGGCCCCTATAACAGTACCCTCACTTCTCCTGACATTCAACTTTCATACCTAAAAACATGTGGCTTTCTCCTGGCAAAGCTCTAAGCCAAGTTGAGACCCAACCTGGGGAGTTTCTGAACAGAAGGGTATGGAGAGGAGATGGAGGAAAGCATCTGAACCTGTAGAAAAAGTTCCAAGTACTGTGTAATCTTTAAGTTCTGAGAAATTGGGCAGTGACATTCCAGTCCAGCCTGTAACAGAAAGGAAATTCATTAATCAGACAAAAGATGGTGAGAGAGAGAGAGAGAGAGAGAGAGAGAGAGAGAGAGAGAGAGAGAGCGCCAAGAGCCAAAGAGAGGAGCTTCCTTTGACTCTTGCTATAGAAAACTGCCTCTATTAACCAGCTTTCACTGGGCCATGCTGCAGTAACTAAACAGTAACTTATAAAACAAAGGTTTCCTTCTTGCTCATGTTCCATATTGGCTGTTTCATATGTCTTCTTCATTCATGGATCCAGGCTGAGAGTGAAGTCTCTTTCTGGGATGTTTCCTTCTCATGGCAAAGGGTACAATAGCAGTACCATATACCTGATGACTTCAAAAGCTTTTCCTGAGATATGATATATGAGGCTTTTGCTCACATTTCATTGACAAAGCAAATCACTGGTCAAGCCTGGTAATGGTGTTGGCAGGGAGTGTGTGCCGCTCCCACGGGAGACATTGAAAAGTACATGGCAGTAAGTAAGGATATAGACTCATTGAAAATGATAATACAACTAGTATAGTCCCCCCCTTGGTCAAAACATTCATTTTCCTCTCTGTCATAAGCAAAATACCCCTACCCATTTTCCAAGAAAGAAGCCCTCGGAGTTATATCCGTGATGACATCAGGTTCCAACTCTAGGATCTTATGATAATTTCTCTGTCAGGTCTGGATACAGAAATCCTCTTGATCTAGAAACTGATGGACTAGAATGACAAGTCCTCTGCCTCCCATGCATACTCAATAAACCTTAATGGAATAGGGACAAGAGAAATACAACATGATCAAGGTAGAAAGGGGAGGCACCCAGCAGACTGATAGCAATTTTGAAGTCCCGCTTCACAAATGTTGCAAGGGGGAAAAGGGCCATTTTCCCTAAGCAAGGATTGTTCTTTAATAAGACCCAGTGTTGGCTCCATGAGAATCAGTACTCTATACGTTGTTCTCCAGGATCTAAGCCCATCCCTCTGGAGGAGCCTTCCTTTCCCATTCATTTCTTTGGCTCTGTCTGGAAAGGGCTGTAAGAATGTAATCTCCTTAGGAATTGAGCAGCATCCTCAGCTTGCTTCCCACCTACTTAAGGAATATTGGAGCATTTTCAGTCTTAAGTCACAGTCTTTTTCCCCCCTGAGCACTTTTGTCCAACAGGCAGGATTTATTAGATACCATCTTAATCAATGAGAGATTTCCACAAAGGGCACAAGAGCCACATACTTGATTTGGTCTTTGCTCTGAGGCTGAGTTGTATTGACTTTATTTATCAAAGAATTTTTCATTTTTATCTTTTGCCATTTGAGTATGAGAAGTAGTTGCATCTTTTAATCCTGCAAGTGCTGAAGTTTCAGAATTCCCTTTTCTGTTTCCTTCTGATTTGCGAGCTGACCAATTCTCTGAGCTTTCGTCTTTTTGGTAGTACTTTGCCAAATGCAGCCAGGAATGGTCAAGAGAAACTAGTAGCCTGCTTCTCAGATTCTTCTCCCTAAGGCACAATTCATTCAGTACATCATCTCACTTCCAAATAATTACAGGCAACAATTTTACCAAATGTTTTGCCACTGCATAATGAAAGCTGCTTTTCAGCCCCCAGTAACAGCTTATTTACCACCTACTGCTTAGTCCCAAAGCCAATACTATACATTGTAGATTGTTTTCTTGCTTTTCAGCCTGCTGCTCCACTTGTAAATATGATTGCATTTCAAAATAAGAATTTGCTAGGTTCTAATAAGAATGTGCTGCAGTAACAACAACCCAACCCGCATGCTCTGACTTTCATAAAAGAAAATATATTCTTGCTCCTGTTACACATCTACTGCTGGCTTTCAGTAGTTGGCTTTGTCTTTACTGTACCTGTCCTCTTCAACTAGGGATCTGGACTGGTAGTGGTAAAAGAGCTACAGCAGAATCCTGTGATGGTACTTAAAGCATCTGCTCAGTTGTGATTTGTGTTACATGACTGAGTCTGACATGTGTGGGAAAGCACACTGCTTTCAGAGAGCGTAAGAGTCAATGGCAACAGGGGGGCTGTATAACCCTCCAGCAGGGTAGCTAGCAAATAATTGGAAACAGTAATGCAATTTAATATACACCTTGTCCCCTGCTAACACTTCATCCTAATTGCTTTTCTTTTAGAACTTCCCCTGAGGTATCTTCCTGGCTCCTCTTCCCCCGGCCCCCACTCACTTTGGGAGCTTCCAGGTCTTCCCAAATATATAAACCACCCTCTCCTGTTTGCCTGATATCATCCATATTCCTTCCCTCCTAAAGATATATTCACAAAGGCTTACTGGGTTGCAAATCTACAAGCTCACGTGTCTTGCCTCTATTTTTCTCAAGACTTATCAACCAACAACCAATAAGCACCTACTTTGTGTGAACTATGCAGTGAATTTATAAGACCACGTGAGTCTTGTAGGAGCCCATACCCTATGGGGTAACTGAGAGATGTGTTTCCTTTTATGTCATTGTCTCTTTTCTGTCTCTGCTTTTCTCAGTCAGGTCCAGTTTGGGATCTGACCTCATTTCCACTAGAGCAGAGTCCACCACGGCCCTTTCCTCAAGAGCAAGAGGAAACAAGATAGCATCCTCTTGCCTGCTTATGTCCTCACAGGCAATATGTCTAAGTGGCGAGGAGCAGAGACTGGGATAATAGTTCAGGTTTTAAATCCCAGCTCTACTTCTTGTTAGCTTATGTGAACCTGAGCAAGTAACTTCACTTATCCTGTGTTTCTTCTTTTTTATCCAAAGGCTTTTAGCAGGATTAAATGAGATTGGGGACACACACACACACACACACATACACACATATATGTATATGTATTTTTTTTTTAGATTTATTTATTTATACAAGCACTGGGTACAGTCAGAAGTGCAGGAGGGTGAGAGAATTCATCAGAGCCAGATCAGGTTGCAGAACAGGCAGATGGAGCGAAGACACTGCTGAGGGGAGCAGCGGGCGAGGCAGGAGAAGTCTGCTGCATCATGTGGGGTTCTCCCTGGTCAGCGGGGAATCGAACCTCTGCAGACAGCTTCGCAGCATGGTGCTCAACTGCTATGCCACCGGGAAGGCCCTATGTATTTGTATTTTTAAAATTAATTCACTTATTCCGTAGTGCCCATCATTAAATGAGGTTGGTAATATATATGTGAAATATATGTGTATATATAGAGGGTTTTTTCCCAATTACTTCAGTTATACCATATTGCCTAGCATAGCAGTATGCTCACAAATGGTAAAGGGTAGCTTTGTTATTCTTATCATTAAGCCCAAGCCAAGCCTAAGTACTCTTATGTTCCAGCTTCTTTTACCTTTGCACAGCTTGCAGGTAGAGATTATGGTTTTTGCTTTTCTTCATGGGGTTTGAGGTCTGCCCAGCAGCTTCAGCTCATCTTGCTCCCACCCTTAGCTTGGTCCTCAGGATTCTAGTGCTCTCCACCTTGTCCCTAGGTGACTATGAACTGGATATCTCCCCCTATGAAGATACAGTGACCAGAAAACCCTGGAAAATGAACCTCAGCAAATTGAATATGCTCAAACCAGGTGTGGAGGGCTGGCTGCGGCTGGGAAGTGGGGGTTGGGGCTGGGTCCTGAGGGAGGGTGGCTGCAAGGGAACACAAGTGGGAGATTTGGGGGAAGAGTTCTTGCCTATCAGGTAACTAAAGTTGTGCTGGGTCAGGATGAGAGTCTGAGCTGTGAACATGGTCTGTCTCACAAGTCAGCAAGGAGCAAGATTGTTAGGAAGCCACTCTAACAGGGCTAAGTAGGACTCCCAGGTCCAAAAGGTGGGTCTCTATAAAGGCATGGATGGGAGTGGCTGCAGTTCCAGAAAAAAAAAAAAAAGTGCCAAAATGGAGCATTTAGCCTTGTTCAAGGCAGCTAAGAAAATAGCTTTTTGTCCCTGAAGACTAGGAAATTGCTTGTTTTCAGGGATTCTAATGAGATGGGTGAGGTATTGGGCGGGGAATATGGGAAGAGAATATAAGTCCTCAGGGGTGACTCAGGGCAGGGAGCCATCTGTCTGGCAAGGACCTTGATGCATGTTCTTCAGGAAAGTAAGGCTATTGCATTAGTTAGAAAGGAACACACACACACACAAACACAAACACACAAACATTTTTTGAGAATGATGTGAGCTTTGAGCTCTATATATTAGAATTTTTTTTAAGATTTATTTATTTATTTATAAAAGCACTGGACACAGTCAGAAGCATGGAAGGGTGAGAGAATTCACCAGAGCCAGAGTGGGGAACAGAACAGGCAGACTGATGAAACACACTACTGAGGGGAGCAGCGGGCAGCAGGAGAGGTCTGCGTGCCATGTGGGACCCTCCCCTGAGGCCGGGCATCGAACTGGCGCTGCAGAGGCTGCGGGCAGCTTTGCAGCTCAGTGCTCAACCACTGCCCCACCAGGGGAGGCCCTATATGTTAGAATTTTGAGAGAAGAACAATAGAAATCGTTACAAACAAACTCATAATTTCAAGGAATAGGTGAATAGGCTGTTCTAGTTACTCCATTGTTCTGACTAATGTAATATTCTGTAATAGGAATAACACTGTAATTTCACAAGACTAAGTATGGGAAATTTTTATGCATGCATCAGTCAATGAAAGACAGGAAGGTTCCCACCCATCACAATCCTTAAATTAGAGGGTTCCTGGGGAAACTGGGCTCCAGTTCGCAGAGAGGATTGGTGACTTGGTGCCCCTCTCCCTTCAGACTCGGATCTTTGCCTCAAGTTCGCCATGCTATGCACTCTTAATGACAAATGTGACCGGCTGCGCAAGGCCTATGCAGAGGCGTGTTCCGGGTCCCGCTGTCAGCGCCACTCCTGCTTGCGACAGTTACGCACCTTCTTTGAAAAGGCCCCGGAGCATCTCGCAGAGGGGCTACTGCTGTGCCCTTGTGTGCCTGCAGACCAGAGCTGCGGCCAGCGCCGGCGCAACACCATCGCCCCCGGCTGCGCGCTACCCTCCAGCGTCCCCAACTGCCTAGATCTGCGTGGCCTCTGCCTCTCTGACTCACTGTGCAGGTGCCAGAGCTGGGTGTGGGCGGCAGGGGTGGGCAGGGGTAGTGCGCAGCACTCCTTCCAGACTACCTTCCTGGGTCAGATCTCCTCCACTCCCAGGATCATGGACTGACTTCTCTACATAGCAACTCTAATATTTTCTGAAACTTCTCAAAAATTATAGTTTCTTTCCTTTGTTTAAAATTTCAGAAAATATAAAACTGTATGAAAAAATGCCACTCAGAACCCATCCCCTGAAGATCATCTATCATATTTGGGGGCTAATTTCCTTCCAGCCTTTTTATTTATTTTTTTAAAAAAATTTTTTTAATAGAGGCATGTTTTATTTATTTATTTATTTGTTTGTTTGTTTTGTTTATACATACACTGGGTACAGTCAGAAGCGTGGGAGGGTGAGAGAATTCACCAGAGCCAGAGCAGGGAGCAGAGCAGGCAGAAGGACCGAAATACACTGCTGAGGGGAGCAGCGGGCGGCAGGAGAGGTCTGCGCGCCATGTGGGACCCTCCTCCGGTGGCCGGGGAGCAGCAGGGGATCGAACCGTAGCCAGCATAGGCCGCGGGCAGCTTTGCAACCCAGCGCTCAACCGCGGGCAGCTTTGCAACCCAGCGCTCAACCGCTGCGCCACCGGGGAGGCCCCATCCTTCCAGCCTTTTTAATACACAGATGAACAAAGTTAGACATTCAGTGAATATATTTGTATCTTACTTTAAAAAAAAAATTTTAAAGATTTATTTATTCATGCATAGGAGAACCAGCATACAGGCCAGATGTGTGGGAGCGTGAGAGGATTCACCAGAGACAGAGCGGGGAACAGAACAGGCAGATTGACTGAAATACACTGCTGAGGGGAGCAGTGGGGGAGACAGGAGAGTTCTGCCATGCCATGTGGATTTCTCCCCAGCTGGCCAGGATCGAACCCGCACTGCAGAGGCTGCAGACAGCTTCACGGCGCTCCGCCCAACCGCCTGCGCCACCAGGATGGCTTGTGACTTAGTACATATCCCATGAGCATATTTCCATGGAGGTAGGATGGGCTCTGATGTGAATTTAAAAAAATAGAAACTTAAGGGGCCTTCCTGGTGGCGCAGGGGGTTAAGTGTCAGCACTTTGAAGCTATCCACAGCCACTGCAGGACGAGTTCTATCCCTGGCTGTCCAAGGAGGTGACCCACATAGCTCAGCAGACCTCTCCTGTTTTGACTGCTGGTCCCCTCAGCAGTGTATTTCAGTCCATCTGCCTGTTCTGTTTCCCACTCTGTCTCTGGTGAATTCTCTCACCTCCTGTACCTCTTGCCTGCACCCAGCTCTTGTATGCATACATAAATAAATTTTTTTTTTAAAAAAGACGCAAACTTAAAGCCTGGTTTATATGACCTGGAGCCCTTCACTTAATCTAAAATTCTATCACTTAATCTAAGGTTCCACTTTCCTCTGTGCAAACGGGAATAATAATGTAGATCTCGTTAGATTCCAGTGAGAGTAAATTACGTAATTTGTGGAGAGTGCTTAGCTTCCTGGTGCAGAGTAAGTACTCAATGAAAGGTGGTGCTTATTTTGTCATTTACTGTCCTTTGACAGATTGATTTTTTTTGTGTGTGTGTTTATTTTTATTTTATATATTTTTTACATCATTTTTCTTTTTTTTTTTTTTTCCGCTTTTTTTTTTTTTTTTAAAGATTTTTATTGATTGATACATACAAGCACTGGGTATAGTCAGAAGCGCAGGAGGGTGAGAGAATTCACCAGAGCCAGAGCGGGGAGCAGAGCAGGCAGAAGGACCCAGGTACACTGCTGAGGGGAGCAGTGGGCGGCAGGAGAGGTCTGCGCACCATGTGGGACCCTCCTCTGGTGGCCGGGGAGCAGCCGGGGATTGAACCGGTGCTGCAGAGGCTGCGGGCAGCTTTGCAACCCAGCGCTCAACCACTGCGCCACCAGGGAGGCCCTCATTTTTCATTTTAGAACAATGTATGCATTTTCATCTTGGTTATAGTCCCCATACAATTCCCACTCCCCTTGTTTTGATCCTACTCCCTTCTCCTCACCCCCACACCCCCATAGTGTGTCTCTGGTTTATTGTTGCTTGGTTTTTTTTTTCTTTAATTTAAATATTTTATTTTATATAATTCTTACATCTTTTTTCATCTTTGCACAATGTATGCATTTTCATTTTGGTTATATTCCCCATATAATTGCACCCCCCACCCCTTATTTTGACTCTAGTCCTTCCTTTTCCCTGCTCCTCCCCGCCCCCTGTAGTGTGTCTCTGGTTTGTAGTTGCTTGTTGATTTTGATTTTTACTTTATTATTATTAGTCTTTTTCCCGGTCTCTTATTTAGGTTTTCTAAATTCCTGCTACAAGTGAGGCCATCCAGTACTTTTCTTTTTCTTTTTCTTTCTGGCTTATTTCGCTGAGCATGATCCCTTCCAGCTCCATCCATGTTGCTGCAAATTGCATGAGTTTATTTTTTTGATTGCTGAGTAATATTCTATTGTGCATATATACCACATTTTCTTGATCCAGTCATCTATTTTTGGGCATTTGGGTTGTTTCCATAGCTTACCTATTGTAAATAGTGCTGCAATAAATATAGGGGTTCAGGTGCCCTTTTGAATTAATGTTTCTGTGTCCTTTGGGTAAATACCTAGGAGAGGAATTGCTGGGTCATATGGAAGCTCCATCTTTAGCAGATTGAGGAATCTCCACACAGCTCTCCATAGTGGTTGGACCAGTTTGCACTCCCACCAGCAGTGCAGGAGAGTTCCTTTTTCTCCACATCCTCACCAACATTTGTTGTTGCTAGTTTTTTTTAACATGTGCCATTCTCACTGGTGTAAGATGGTATCTCATTGTAGTTTTGATTTGCATTTCCCTGATTACAAGTGATGTTGAACCTTTTTTCATATGCCTGTTGGCCATTTGCATTTCCTCTTTGGAGAAGTTTCTTTTTAGCTCTTCTGCCGATTTTTTTTTTGTTGAGTCTCATCAGCTCTGTAGATTTTTGTGATCAGTCCTTTATCATTAGTGTTGTGTGCAAAAATTTTCTCCCAATTGGTGGGGTGCCTCTTTGTTTTGATTACTGTCTCTTTTGGACAGCTTGATTTTTAAATGCCTACATTATACTCCATTTTATGAATGCCCTATACTTTAATCATTCCTCTATTGCTATAAATAATGGTGCAACCTGTATCACTTTTTTTATTCTAATTTAATTGTGCCTTAGGATATGTTGTGATAAGTGCCATTACTAAATCAAAAGACATAAAGAATTGCAAGATGTTTGATACTTATTTTCCAAAAAATAGGAAACGCTTATCCTGGCTTTCCTCTGCCTTTTCAGGAGGAAATACTCACTAACTTGAAGTTACCATCCATTCCAGTAACATTTGTTGATGAGAAATTACACCAACCTTGTTTTGCCACCTGGTTCTATCACTTAATTCTCTACAACCTTAGAAACCTCAGAGTTGCATTTTCTCCTTCTGTAGATTATCTTAATAATCAATAATTTTCATACCAACACTTACTGGAATATTTGTTATGGGCTAGTTAAATGGTTAACATGTATTAACTCCTGTAAGAGCCTAAGAAACTCTTCAAGATAAATGCTAATATTTTTATAACTTTCTCAAGTTCACCCAGGTAATAAATCAGGTTTGTTAATGAGGTTTGAAATGTTTGGAGTAGAGATTTTGGCCTAGAATGTATCCTGCTAACCATTATGCTACGCTGCCTCTTGTTTGTAACTCTTACTGTTACTGGTACATAACAGGTGCTTGGCTAGATGAATAGATATTGTCCCTTCCTCAGTTCCCCACTGAATGGGCATGACAGAAGTAAACCACCAATCTAACACAAGGTAAAATGTAAGGAGAACTAGACAGCAGAATTATAAACAGGAAAACATGCTCATAATCCTACCTATTGTAGGATAAGTGTTAATGAGGATTTGTAACACTCATTAAACACTTAATATACAATAGGCATTATACTAATTGCTTTACATGCTTTCTCTAATTTTCTCCTCACAAAAATAAAATGGTGTTTTTATCTCTTTTTGCAGTCGAGGAAACTGAGGTTAAAGAAGTTGCCTGAGATCTCATGATTTAGGATTGTGAAAATCAATTTCAAAGTGATGTGCTATGGTGGCTGGGGTGGTGGTACATTTAATTATGACAAGACCAGGCTTCACTGAGGAGGAAGCCCTGGGCAGGGGAGAATTTGGCACGAAGCAGGACAAGTTAACTAAAGGGATAGCTAAAGAGTTAACTAAAGGGTGAAGGCTGCAGCAAGGTGAAGGCTGCTGTCCAGATTTTCAATGGGGACACTGGAAATTTCTCTTTTAGGTCACGCCTGGCAGATTTTCAGACTCATTGCCACCCCATGGACATCCTAGGGACCTGTGCAACAGAGCCATCCAGATGTCTGCGAGCATACATGGGGCTGATTGGTGAGGCTGGGGTTGTGTGTAGGGATCCCACAAGTTGGCCATCCCTGTGGGTGAGAATGCTCTGGAGACTCAACCCAGTTGAGTGGTCCTGAGGCAGGTGGGAGTAGGTGGGAGCTGAAGTTGGGGTTGGCCTATGTCCTAACATTCCTCTTCACCTCACAGGGACTCACATGACACCTAACTTTGTCAGCAGTGTCAATACCAGTGTGGCTTTAAGCTGCACCTGCAGGGGCAATGGCAACTTGCAGGAGGAGTGTGAGCAGCTGGAAGGGTCCTTCTCGAACAACCCCTGCCTCAGTGAGTGTGCTTCGCTTGTTCTCATCCCCGGTGGCCAGGTCAAGGAGAGGAGAAGGGTCAGCTCTGTAGTCCACCATACATCTCCTGTAGATAGAGCAACACCGTCCTCAGCAGAGGCATCCCCGACCCTGGGCCTTTCTTCCTTTTCTCTCTTCCTGAATGTCCCTCAGGCTGCTCTTTCAACCTTACCAGGCCCTAGGAACACTCTTTAGCTCAAGGAATAAGCAAACAGAATGAAGCAATACCCTCTTTCCACCTGCTACCACCTAGCTTATATCCCAGGAACCCTGATGCTTTCCCTTTCCATCCTTGGGGACCTACACTCTGCATTTGTCTGCTTCTCTCCTCTCCTCAGTGGAGGCCATTGCAGCTAAGATGCGTTTTCACAGCCAACTTTTCTCCCAGGACTGGGCAGACTCTACATTTTCTGTGATGGAACGCCAGGTAGGGGCTCCTCTGTTATACTTTGCATATCTTTATTGGATCGGCTGGGAGAAACCCAAACAAGACAGACAAGGAGATGAGGGAGAGTTTGTGACCTCCTTGTCATGAAGGGGCAATAGATCTCTAATGGATAGCCTAGGGGAGGGGGACCTTGACTGAGGCTGAAGTGGTGAGGGGGACAGAACTAACTTCCTTCCATTTTCTTCCACAGAATAAAAACCCTGCTCTGAGGCTACAGCCCTGGGTGATCTCTCTTTTCTCCTGCATACTTACCTTGATTCTGCTCCTGAGCCTCTGGTAGCTGGACTTCCCTGGGGGCCCTTTTCCCTTCTATCATACCCAACCTGACCTGCAGTCTACAAGGGATGAGAAAAGGGCAGCGTCAAGAATGAGGTGCAGTGCACAACATGGTAACCCTGGCACCACCCCGCATGTGGAATCCAGATGAGGCCACAGTAGAAGCCAATGGCTGAGTTTTCATTTCCTCTGTGTCTCCTTCCTCTTCTGACCCAGGCTGCTCCTCATCAGGATTTGGTGGCCATGGCTTAGCCATATCTTTGGGTGGTGACCAGCTTTACCCATCTCTATCCTGATCCTTTCCTCCTGCCCACCAAGATCAACAGTTATTCCCTACTGCATTCTCCAGATAGGCAGTGCTGGGTGTTCTGAGATAGCCTAGAAAGACATTCCCCATTGTGAGAAAGACAGTAACAAGACTCCTGCCCCCTTATCTCCTCCTCTGAATGGGTGATGGGAATCAGCTGCCTCCCCTACCCTGGGGTCCTGCAGAACATTTGAGCATCAGGAACCTGAGAATTTGGGCCTAGCTTTCTTCTTGCTACTGTCTGACAGTCCTCCCAGTCTCTTGGATCATTAAACATTTGGACTTAAAACTTTGCTCTTTTCCCATTTTCTCACATTGTGAATTTCTATAGAACTAGAGATGTTACAGACAGAAGAGCACAGGCCAGGTGATCAAGAGACCACAGTCCTTCCACCAACTGCTGTGGGACCTCAGGCAAGTCTCTTAGCCTCTCTGTGTACTTGACATGGAGAAGGAAGAAAATATAGCTTATGTGAAGCTGTGGGCCTGGTATCTGTTCTACCTCCAGCCATATACTGTATAGGATCTGCTACAGTAACTGAGAATGGGAAGATCCTTAGTCAGCCACAGCATTTACTGAACACCTTGTTGTGTTTTTGATCTTAAGGGGAAACTGGTTCTTGATTTCATTTGTAGTCCTGTTGGGATAAGGTGACAGCCTACCATTATAAATTGGTTGGAAGAATATACTTATAGAGCTGTGGACATTTGTCTGTTCATTCATTCACTCACTCCATAGGCATCTGATGAGTGCCAAATCTGCAAGGTGCTGTGCTTGGTGCAGGAGATTTGGGATGATAAATCTCAGATACTGTTTTCAAGTCTTTCATACACCCAAACAGGGAAACAGACAAGACTGTCACTAAGAATAATGCAGTATGGTAAGTGCTGTATGTTGATTATAATAATAGCCCTCATTTACTGAGACTCTACTGTGTGGAAGTTCATGCATGAATTCATTTAACCCTCAACAACTTTATGAGGTCAATCGCTAGATACGTGACCTTTAGTTTAACCTCCTGGACCTCATTATTCACATCTATCACATGGAAAAGCATAGAACCCACCTCATAAGGAATGAGATAATCCATTGTGTCTGACATAAGAGCATTGTGTAGGACACAGTGACAAAAGTTAGAACTCAAAAAAGTTAGCTATTATAGTATATGTTTTTTTATAGAGAATTTGAATGATACAGCCAATTACAAAAAAGTAAAAATCCTTAAAATCCGACCCTCAAACTTCCAAACAATTCTCTGCATATCTGTGTGCATGAAAATCTATGGGTGAGTGGAAATTTACATCAATAGGGTCAGAAACTGCATAGCAAAGACATCTTTCAGCATCCATGACTAGAACTTGAGCTACATCATCCTTTTTTTCAAGCTGAATTACATGTACTTGTGTGTATGTTTCTGCATACATAGTTTGTTTAACCGGTTCTAAAATGGTGGTTATTTGGTTGTCTCCCCACTTTCCTCCCAGCCAAGTTTTAAGGCAGTGAGGAGTGACTAGGGGGTAGGATGTGCCAAGCAGCTGCCAGATGGGTAGAATAGGGAAGCTTCCCCCTGTGCGTTCTTGTATCCTCATAACCTACCCTGCCCTGGAAATATCCAGCCAACCTGCTTCCCTGCAAACTCCAGTGGGGCACTGGGGTGGACTTTTCCCTTCCTCCCTTGCCAGGAAGATCTCAGAGCAGTCAAAGCCTCTCCATTTGCTTTGACTCCATTAGCCTGGGGCTGGGGGTGTGAATGGTACAGTCATTCCATGCTAAGTGCTTGAATTAGACTAATAGGTCATCTGTGCTTTTCTCTGAAGAAGGTCCAAATTCCTGGTAAACAACCAGACCACTCTCCCAGCCCAGGGCCCAGAGCCAAGACCCAGGGTGGGGGCACAGTGACTGGACTGACGCTTTTAATGCTATCTTGGCTGGCTGGGATGGTTAATGCCATTAGACTAGCTTCTGGGCATGAGGTGGGAAGGGCTGCTGGCTGCAGTGGTTAGTGGAGAATGTTGAAATACAGGCCTCTACATGGCTGGGGTGGAATCAGCTGACTTTTAAACAATTATCTTGAAAATCTTTCATTCATTCATTCATTCATTCATTCAACCACTTAACAAGCTCTTGTTCTGTGCCAGGCTGTGAGTGTTTTTCAAGATCAGTTCCTGCCCATTCATAAGTTACCATGTTGGTGAAGGGGTATTCCTGGACTTGGGCATCTGAACCTCAAAATTAGAAAGTTGAGACTTTTTGGTTTTCCTGGTTGATTGTAACACTCAGCTCTTTGATCTTGGGGATATTCTTTCTCCTCTGAGCCCTCTTTTCCTCAGGATGCCAGTCATGCATTCTATGGATGCCAGTAGGAATACCTAACAAAAAGGAATGCAATTTTTGTTTATCTTTTTTTTAAAAGAGGCATGTATTTTTTAATTTATTTATGATTTATTTATTTGTTTGTTTGTACGTTTTGTTTACACATGCACTAGGTACAGTCAGAAGCGCGGGAGGGTGACAGAATTCACCAGAGCCAGAGCGGGGAGCAGAGCAGGCAGAAGGACCGAAGTACACTGCTGAGGGGAGCAGCGGGCGGCAGGAGAGGTCTGCGCGCCATGTGGGACCCTCCTCCGGTGGCCGGGAAGCAGCCGGGGATCGAACCAGCGCTGCAGAGGCCGCGGGCAGCTTCACAACCCAGCGCTCAATCGCTGCGCCATCGGGGAGGCCCTTTGTTTTTTTTTTTTAAAGATTTATTTATTTATACAAGCACTGGGTACAGTCAGAAGCGCGGGAGGGTGAGAGAATTCACCAGAGCCAGAGCAGCGAGCAGAGTAGGCAGACTGACAAAATACACTACTGGGGGGAGCACCGGGTGGCAGGAGAGGTCTGCGCACCACGTGGAACCCTCGCCCCATGGTAGTGGTCGGGGGATAGAACCGGCGCTGCAAAGGCTGCGGGCAGCTTTGCAGCCCAGCGCTCAACTGCTGCGCCACCAGGGGAAGCCCTGTTTATTTTTGGTATTTAATAAATACTATACTAACAATTTAATTTAAACCAAAAAGCAAGTGGCAATATCAATGATATTGTTCATATGAGTTTCAATGGTTTGGCTTGGTTCTTTTCTGGCCTCCTATTTCTATAAAAACCTCTAAGCATGAGGTTTTATGTTTGTTTTGTTCTCCCTGTATGTTTAAGTTAGATGATTGTAAAAATATCTAACTAATCAGGATTGTTTTGAAGACTGGAAGCAATTATAACACTTAGCATTGTGCCTAGTACAAGATGAATACTTAGTAACTGGCAGCTTTTACTGATAGTACTGCAGGGAGGGGATCTGTGGGTACCATGTATTCCACTCTCTTGAGTGAGTGGTGGTACTGGTTCTCCCTCCAATAGTTGGATTAAATCAGGGGTGGGGCTACCCCTGAGAAACTCAGCTATTCAAGATATGAACTCCAGGTTGGAAGCTAGAAGTCTCCAGTAACTCAGGCCTCTGTAACTCAGGCCCTGAGAGACCTTGGAAAAATCATGGTGTCAAAGAAAATCAGCATCTTTTGGCCAAGGTCTAACTACTGCAAGTGAGAGCTATCTTAGAATTACTTAGTAAAGGGGAAATGTCAATCCCAGAAAGTTCAGCCAGACTTGGGGGAGTAGAGTCCTAGACCATCTACTTCATTCTCCCTGCAGACCTAATCCTCTGCATGACCTTTTAGGTCTAGTGACTACTGCTGAATGATCTCCCATCCCTATTCTAAATTCTTGAGAAATTTGGTTGTTCTTGCACAAGTTCTAGGTTGGTTTTCAGTGTCTAGGGTCCCTCCCAAAGCTATCAGCTTGGTAAAGAAAGCATAGATTTACACTCTACTAAAATAATTATAGGTTTCCAGGGCTGTTAGTGGAGGCCAGTTCTCAGAGAAGACATTGTGGTTCAAAAGGACGCCTGAAGGTACAGACTCTTGTCAGGTAATTAGGGTGGATCTTCGCAAATCACTTGAAATCCAAATATTGCTGCTTTTGTGACTTCCTCTTAGACCCTAGAGTTTCCTGACTCTCCCTGAGCCCCAGGTGCAATCTTTGACCCACATCACATGTGTTGGGGTCACCTCATGTCCTAAATTACAGCAGAGGCCAGCATGAAGAGTTAGGAGTCAGAGCAAGCTGTTTTAAGCAATAGAGATGGTTTCCTGGGTTAAAAGGTTTGGGGTTGGACCTTGAAGAATGGGTATGGTTTAATAGGCAGAAATGGGGGGAGAGTACCTAAAGATCAGAGTGAGCAATTGCAGAGACTGTAAAAGACAAGGGGGGTTGGGCAGAGGACAGATCGTCTACTGTGACTAAGTGTGCTCCCAGGTCTTTCTGTCACTCATCTCCTTAACCCACACTTCAGGAGAGGGGTTTCATCTGAGGGCACACCCAACTTTTCAAAGCCAGTCCCTGTGCAGCAGGCAGGAGTTATGAGGATGTGGTGTGCAGGATTCAGGCATGGTATGCTTGGCATCCCTGACCACAGGGCACTCCACAGCCTTTGGACCCCTCAGTGACATCTGAGAGCAGAGGTCATTGTGTGTAAGAGAAAAGATGAAGTGAGCCTGTGTCTGGACTGGGAACAGTGAAAAGCGGGGGAGAGCCCAGTCACCACAGAGGGATACCAGTAAATAGCCCCTTCCTGGTACTGACTCCGCTGCCAGTTGTTGTGGTCAGCCAAGTGTCAGAGAATTTGTTCCTCAGGCCTTCCTGGACTTAAGTTAGCTTTGGGGTTTCCCCAGAGGCTGTTTTCAGCTGAGTACCTACTGTGAGTTGGGTAGGGTAGGCAGTAGGTTTACACAGAAATGAAGACAAATTTTATGGTAGAGACAGATTGACAAATAACACTGAGAGACTCATTATTTGAGTGCTTGGTGTATGTCAAACACTAAGAGCTTTACATGTGTATCCTTTTTAAAGCTGAACTGCCTCATGGTCTCATCTCCATGTGGTATCAATCTGGCATCCACAATATTTGAAAATTTTAAAGTTATTTCATTGGGCCTCCCCTGGTGGCGCAGGCGGTTGAGCCCCGCGCTGCGAAGCTGTCCGCAGTCTCTGCAGCGCCAGTTCGATCCTGGCCGGCTGGTGAGGGTCCCACATGGCACAGCAGACCTCTCCTGTCGTGCCCTCTGCTCCCCTCAGCAGTGTATTTCGTCAGTCTGCCTGTTCTGTTCCCTGCTCTGTCTCTGGTGGGTCCTCTCAACCTCCCGTGCATCTGGTCTGTACCCCAAATCTTGTATAAAATAAATAAAATAAATCTTTTTTAAAAAAGTTATTGCCTAGTCGTTGG